TTTATATACAAAAATATAAGGGATACTTGAGAAACAACTAATGGGTTAATGGGGTACATCAACAAAAAGGTTGAGAACCACTGTATTAGGTTGTTTGGAAAGTAAGTTTGTTTTTTTTACCACTAGACAAATTAGTTGCATTTTCATTCTAAACCGTATTATCATTATATATTTTGACCACAAGAAGCACCAAGTTAAGATAACATTAAAAAATGACAAAATTACCTTAATGTTGATAAACTTAAATTCTTCATATTTAATTTTAAAAATGCTAGAATAATTAGTCAGTTACAAAGTGCTGTTTAGCTCTGATACCAATTTCAAATATGTTAAATAATTATGTTTCAATAGAAAAAAAATCTTGTAATAAATTCTTGACAGATAATATAGAACTTTTTAGTACAGTTAACTGAATATCTACAAAACTTTTAACTGCATAGTATGAAACAGACCTTACCAGCCCAAATAAATACTTATAGTATATTCCATGTAACAAAGAATCTGCTGCTTTTATTACTTTTGCCTTTCTTTTTAATTTCTAATTTTTTTCTATGATTATCCAACAACATCTGTAAAGATATATCAATGTCTAAATATATAATTAATTTTATATTTCCATTCTGTTATTTTATGTAAAAGCTTTATCTTCTTTCCTAAATTCTTCACCATTTATAAAGATCTTTGTTTTCTCATTATTTATTGTTAAACTATTTTCTTTAGTATAATTTGGCCTATACAACAAATTTAACTTCCTTTGCATGTGAATATTAGTTTTAACGAAAATAGGGTGGACAAGGCTTACACTATAAATTTTTACACTTAAAAAAAGAAGAGTTCAGTTTTTTGATGTTAAATAAATGAAACTTTAGTAAATCAAGCATTTTTGATATTTAAAAATATCATTTTCAGGAAAATTAGTAAACGTAGTACTTTGAAATATTAAAATATTTGAATCATTTAAAATTAATTTATTTAACATAAACAGCTGAGTTTTCTTCTTTTTGAGTTTTAGCTACTAACACAATATCATCTGCAAAATACAGATACTGAATATGATAAATATCCAGTGAAATTGTTTGGTTAATCCTTCATTTCTTTGCAACTGAGCCAGTAAAGAATATAGAGCTTCCAACACTGATATAACTACCTTCTTTCAGTTTATAATATAGTCTAGATATTATTGAATTTCTCACTGAAGTCTGAAAAACGCATTTAATTCTGGAATATTTATAAAACAAGCAACCAATCTGTGTCTTTTTCATCTGGTTTAGTCCTGACTAAGTATAGTACATATAATAAAAATACACTTGCCATTAAATGTTTATTTACTAGCTGTTACCCGTGACTTTGCCCATGCTGATTTTGCAAGCAAACCCCATTTATATTCAGTATTTCAATAACCATAGTAATTGTTATATAACACCTACTGGTGAGAATGATGAGAACTGCCAAGAATCAAATGAACTATTTTCAATTTCATCAATTTTCTGGAACGTTTACAATCATTCTATAATCAAACCAATACGCAATAACAAATTCATATTTAAAACAGTTTGAACATTTGATTAAAAAATCAAAATATATAAAAATATTTATAAAAATGTCTGAAACGTTATCAATTTAATACACCTAAGTATTCAACGAAGACTAAACATAGTTGAAAACAAAAAATCGCATCTAAAATAGTACAGTAGAAGCCATTCTTCAGGTTAAGCCTTAATGTGCTCTCTCTCCCCCCGCAGGGAAAGTTCAAAAAATCCCTTCTTAGTGTACATTCTCGTGGCATACCCTAACTGTGTACCAAATTTCACCTCTTTAGGTTCAGTGGTTTGCTCTGGATGATGATGAATCAATCAGTCAGTCAGTCAAGACAAGTAATTTTAGATATTTAGATTAAAACCAAATGGTTAATAATTAATAAAATTAATCGTTATCAATTTTATCAATCAGTTAGCAAGAATTTCAACAAAAATTGTATATAGTAATTATGAATAATAACAAAATTGGATGATAATTTGATAAATCTTATCAAAGACCATTTTAAATGTTACCTTAATTTTTATTCTGTTCCAGATTGGAGAGAAGGATGTTTGTCTAGTAACTCTTTAAACAATTTCATTAAATATGATCTCATATCTGATTTGACATATTTAATTAATAACAGGAAAATACAATCTACTCCAGATACAGTATTTGGCATTATCCATTTCCAAACTTCAAGTATCAGTTCCAAGGTCAATCAAAAATCCAGAATTGTATCATAATTTGTAACATTACTTATCATTCCAAATGAAATATCCTTTCTATCATAAACAAGTAAACATAATCCCAAATAACAAGAGTGCCTTGAGTCAAGAAAATTCCATTTTCCATCTTATGCCCCTTTGGAAAAATCTATTTAATAAATTCCAAAACTTCTTAAAATTTCCTTTTTCTATGATGTAATGAGAAATTGGTATAATATTCATTTCTTCAGCTTTATATGCTTGGTCCAAAATAGACTCCATCAGCATGACGATTTGGCAGTGTCTTTTATAAAATATAAAAATAGTTAAATTATTTTTATGTCTTTCTAGGGAACTTTGCTCAAGCATTCAAAAATTTTGTGACAATTAGTTTTTTATTTCTCTTCTTCATAGTTATAGTATATCTGTAAACTCCTTGCTGCACTTTTATCATCCCCTGGCCCTATTGTTCAATTATTTCAAAACAATCTGCAACCTCCATTAGCAGTGAAGTAGAATGATGACAGCAGTGCACCTGTGAGTGCTGGGATTTGATGATGGTCTCCAGAGAGTATCAGCTATTGCCATGTGTAATTTGGGCTGTGCCCCACAAGTAGATGGATGCAGGAAGACTGTGCAGCATATGATATAAATATTGAGTATATATATACAGGTAACCCCTGTATAACACAGTAGTTACGTTCCAAAAAATTGCCGTGTTATGCGAATCAAAGAACTAGTACGAAAAGGAGGGTTAGGTTCCAAAAATTAAAAAACATGCTACTATATTTTCATAATTAAGTTAAATATCTTTATTAAAATTTTCTTAAGTGATACATATTAATATAAATTAAACAATGTTTTCTTTGTCATCACTAAAAGCACTATTAACCGAGAGCGTTTTATTTTTGGCAAGTTATCGTTTATCCTCTGAGCATTTTTCTGCATTATTTTCAGATTCATGCTTTACCTTTTGCAAAAAGTNTAATTTTATATATTGAAATTGAAGGAAAGTATGAATAAAATTTATATTATTAATGTAGTTAAGATTGATTTTTTTCTCCTTTTTTGAGTTTAATAATGTTAAGTATGGTATTATGTTTTCCCATATGAGAATACTTTTACAGAGCTCGACACTCGAATTCAATAACCTATATTTATCGAAAATCGTTATATAAACTTCAAAAATGCCAGTTTTTATATATTCGTGAGAATGATTAATTAGTTAAGTGAAACACTCTTCAGTTAATACGGGGTTTACCCAAAAAAAACAAGGAAATATACATTAATGAATAGGCGATGTTAGTCTAGTAAAGACAATATTGTTCTATCTTGTATCTTCAGGAAGGCACATTATATTATTACTAAGTTCTATGTTATATTTAAAACACTCAATTTTAACTAAAATGTATAATAGTATACATTAAAAAAAGTCCATATCAAATAAAATTTGATCGGTAAATTAATTTAATTCGTTTATTTGATTGATTGGTTAGTTTAATTTTAAATTAATTAATATTTTAAAAGAAAATCGATTTTAATTGAATTTTTATTTTAAAAATTTTTCCTTAAAAAACGACGATTTTTAATTAAAAAATGCGATTGATTCTATAATTTTTTAAAGTAAAAATTATTATAATTTTTAAATGTGAAATTATAATAAAATGATCAATTCTGTGAAGATGGAGATGAGAGAAACAAGAACAATTCATATCTTTAAATAACTTTAAAGGGATTTCAAAGAATGTATTAAGTTCTTTGACTTGCAAATTGTATACAAATAGAGCGGCTTTCGTGTTTCTTGATGCATTTGAAAGGAATGATTCAACCGTTTAAATCAATTGAACCTTCATCTAAACATCGCACAACAACATTAACTTGATGTCATTGTTTTAAAATATTTTACAGTCGCTACGTAAACTATTATATTTATAAAAATAAATAAGATTTATTTAATTAAAAAATAAAGTAATCATTTAACATAAAATATATTGGGAAATTTAGGTCGCTTCCGATAATTTTTAAATAAATTTTTTTTAACAATAATAATGTTATTATTAACACATATCAACTGATATATATACAATAAAACGTTTATAATATTGATATATAATATCATTATCGATTAAAAGCAATGTTCTCGCTATTTTGTAACAATAGAAAATATCACACTGTAATTGCGTTTTCCTGTAAAGGAGTCTTTCCCTTAAATACAGTTATTATGCCAAGAAGTTTCATATTCAGGTGCAATAGCCTTTTCATATTTATGATAATTCGAATTTCATAGTAATAATTATTATTATAGTTAAGTTTACTTTTAAATGTATTGACTTATTGTATATTTAATTGAATAAATAAGTTGGTTTTGACCGTATTGATTAAATATAATTTGAAATTCTTGATTAAAATGCCGATTATATATATAAATAAAGTATGAAGAAATTTTATATATATTTGTGTAAATTATATATATATGTATAAACTTATATAAATTATTTGAGTTGTGAGATTGATATAAAGATATAGATATTTTTATAAATTGCCTTTTTCCCTTGTAAACACCCGTTGTGCATTCTTTATAGTTGAATGAATGTGTCATAGAAATTGTTATAAATAGAACCTTATAAATGTTCTTTCTGCAAGATCAAAATATTTTCTAGTCTATATAGTCTCATTACATGCATATAAGAACAATTTTATGCTCTTATATATATAGTTCTATATTAGAATTGCTACATATACATTGGATTGTTAAACAAATAATTTCAAACTTACCAAATATATAATACCATAGTCTATCACCATCCAGATCATCCGCTTGTATCAATGCAACAAGATCTCCAATTTTGTCAGTTTCAGCTACAACAATAACACTATCTGTATCTTTCACAACTGGAGGATGAACTGATTTTTTACGTCTGGCAACAATATCCAATAGAACTCGAGTTGTAGTAGTTCTTACAGGATGCCCATTGTCAGATGCTTTTACCTAAGAAATTATAAACCTTATTAAATGTTAGAACTTAAAGTTCAAATCTTCTTGTTAAACCTGATTCATACTTATAAAAATAAGCCAAAAATGTTCATTTAAATATTAAAGTTCTGCTGAAAAAAGTATTTAAGATATTTAAGCTGAAAATTTTAAATAAAATGATAAGAAACAGGTAATTCTTATATTAAAGATAGCACAAATTTGTTTTAAATTAGGGTTCCTATAATGTTTTTTTAAAAAACTGGGACATTCCCACATTTTTACTTATAAAACCTGGGACATTTCATAAAAAAATGTGACATGTTAAAAATGGAAAAAATCAAAAATAAATCTATTAAATATTATATGTTGCATTTTAAATAAAATACTGATATAACAATACATACATTCACATACTGTCTTATTTTTTAAAGTTGAATTTATTTTTGAAAAAACAATTATATTACAAAAAATATTCACAAACACAATTAGAAAAGTTGCAGCTTTAAAACATATATAATAGTCAAATTTTATATTTTAGATTCATCAGAATATTTATCAGATTTATGGATTTCTTCAAGAAATATTTTTCTTTTGATATTTGGACATGGAACTCAGCACAAGAGAAATACTTAAAATGGGTCTTTAAAACGGTTAAAGTCGTCACTGTCGAAATTTTAAGTCTGTTTTTCTTGTGTCCACAGTTAATAAATGAACTGTGGACACAAGAAAAACAGACTTAAAATTTCGACAGTGACGACTTTAACCGTTTTAAAGACCCATTTTAAGGCAACAGTAGTTTACACTTGAGGATGAATTGTGGAAAAGATCAAAAACATTCATGAAAAATTTTTTTCAGCAAATAAGGTATTGGAGAATTTACTATTTTCATGCTAAGGGTGATTTCCCATAATGATAAAAACATTGATGATAATTATAATTAATTAATCTTACTGTTATATGTTTTCTAATCATTTAACTTATGTATTTAATGTCAGACAGAATCATTGAAACCAGAATTTCTGCTAATTGCAATTGTTTTATTTAACTATAATGTAAGTTATTGTCATTAGTTTAGACAAGTTCCAAAATGAATACAATAACAAATTCTGCTATATAAGAAATAATGCATTAAAACAAACGGGACATTCCAATTTTCAACGCTGACTCAGCGCTGATCTCAACATTCGTTAAAATTCATTCCTTTTTTCAATGTTGAGGTAGCACTGTTGTCAGCACTGACTCAACACACTCAGCACTCAACAGATATGTTGACTGCTACTTTCCAATGAATTGTGGGTAATTGGTAAGACATTTGAATGGAATCCATCTTGCTGAGAATGGAATTATGGGAACTAAGCACTTCGTACTCGAGTTGGAACGTCGTTGATGACGTCAAATTGTTGACTTCAACACTCAACACTCGCGTTGAAAATTGGAATNATAAAGACGCTAAAAGGGACACGTAAAACGTGATAAAACGTCATCGCCAACTCGTCATCGCAAACGAGCAGCCAAACTACTTAGCGCCACGCTACGGAGAGTTTAGGCAGATAAGTTGAGTTTACTATCGTCTGTACAGTATGTAAATTAGGTACCGTAAGTTTAATACAGCACTGTAATTTTGTACATTTCTTGTGAAAGAAACATTTCTTATTCAATGGCCATAAAAATTATTTCTATTAATGATGTCTCCAAAGTTCAACAAATTTTTCGCAGAAAAATAACATCTGAAATCGCGGCCACCGTTTGGTGCGCTGCTCCGCGACGAACACAAGCTTAAGCAATGGTGACGTCAGACAGTGCACACTTGGTAAGTAATCCTACAATTTTTTGTTTATAGCATAGTTTATACGGATTATTCCCAAAAAATTATACGTATTTTGGAAATGTTAAGTCGAATTAGTCTAGAATCGATTAATTTTATGGAAGAAAACCTTTCAAACAGCCGTAGTCTGTAAACTTCACACGTTCGGGCTGCGATTGGCTCATGTATTTAAGGATTCCTACAACGCGAAATTCGTATAACAAGGAACGTATCTCCGCATTATAGGGGGTCTACTGTATATTAACAATATCTTCTACTATAAAAGAATAATAATAAAGAATACCTTTAGAGCATGTTATGTAGTTTTGTTATCAAATTACATTTTATTTTAATTTTATTTAGATATATTGTCAGTCACTAATATTACAATTATATATTATATATATATATATAATATGTAATATATATTATAACTATATATATATAGTTCAAAATCCATACAAAAAAATTGATAATAAAAACAAGAACTTTCTCCAGTGCTGTAGTCATAGCCAGGGTATACTAGGATGTCACCCTGGTACTTTTTTAAATAGGGGTAAAGTCCTTGTATTTTATGAACTTCTATGTTGGACTTTAGACTATGTACAGTAACTTGGCCAAAAACTGAGAAAATTATTTCTTGCAGTTTTTTGTACCGATTATGAATATATATGTCATTTTGTGCATTTAAGCCATTTTTCAGATACTGTGACTTTGTCCATACAAAACTCCATAGACAGTGGCAATTCAAACTTGTGGTGCTGGTTAGCAGTTTAATTAATTTACAACTACACCCTAGACTTGCTCCTTAACCTTTTTTCTTTTTAAGAATAAACACAAAACAAAGGAACAATTAAAGAAAACAAGTAGGTAACTTTTGTTTATCTAGAAATATATTTCTTTTTTTTCAAAAAAGATACTGTGGCCAGATAGGCCTTTTACAAGCATCTTAGAACAAGACCAACAAACAAAACAAAAAGAGTTAGTAAAAACAATTAGACAGGATGCAAGCTGAGAAAAAAAAGAGAAAATTTACATTTCTTTTCAAATCCATTTAGATTGATTGATAACAATAATCACTGTAAGTTGAGTTTTTTTTTCTTTTTTTACAATGTTTTTGAAGATTTCGTAACTTGATATGTTTCATAAGTTATTACACAGACCATTCCAATAGGAAATTATTTGAAAGATCGGTGTAGATTTCCCCACCTCCAGTTTAACGATTGAAAGATTATATCCATAGATCTTGTGAGTATCTTGTGTTGATTTTCGACATTCTCCTATACAATTTCTGAGAAAACTGTTTTCCTTGTTGCCTTTTATGTATTTATAACTCTCAAATAAAACCTGTTTCGTGTAAATTTCACTTATGCTATCAATATTGTCGATATGGTAAAATTCATACACTGATTCCATAAAATTTAGATTATGAATTAAATGCATTTAGCAATTTTGTGCCATTTGAAGTTTATTGATGGCATAGAAAGATGTGGTTCCCCAGACTTTAATACCATATCTTATTTTAGATTCTATGCATATATGGTAAATCGTTTCAAATGTAATGCACTTAAAAAGGTTTGAATTTTCTTATTTATCCCAATGTACTTTGCCAAGGATAGAGTGACATCATCTATTTGTCTATTCCAGTGCAGATTATCATCAAAAGTTATTCCTAAAAACTTAATAGCATTTACTTTTTCTATGTTGTTATTAGTTATTAAAATTTTTAGGTGATCTAAGTTAATTTTTTTGTTTCTATTGGCAAAAAAAAGAAATTTAGTTTTGTTTTTATTAATTACCAACCTATTATTTTCCATATAACTGTTTAATGTTTTTAAGATGTTGTTTAAATTCTCTTGAAGAGTTGTAACATTCACATGAGAATAAGTTATCACTATATCATCAGCATGTGGTGTACCACCATATTGTTCTTTTTGTATAAAATGAAAATATGTAGATATTTTTCTATTTCCTTTCTTCCCTCTTTGTCCTTTGTTCTATGGAACATTCTAGAAACTTCTAACCATGTGGAGTGAATTGACCTACTTGGAAAACAAAGGGAAAAGGGGAAGCCCTGAGGGTGTGAATGAGGGGGAACGGACACTTTTAGCCCAGACGTCGGAGAGGAAGGACGTGTATGCGAGATCTCTGGACTGTTTTAGCAGCAGTCAGGGATATAGACCTGGACGGACCCACAAAACTTTGGCATAAAAGCACGCACGAGATTAGTGGAAAAAGATTCCTTCTTCAGTGTACAGGACATTTTTCACCCGTTTCCCCCCAGCGAACCGAGAAGAGTACGTATTGGCCATCTTCATTAAAACTAGAGCGTCGACCACCATTGGGTACCCATCTCTCATTCCTCTTTCAATCTATACGTCTTAAATTCTGTCCCTTTCTGTTTTATTCTTGATAATTAGTTTTAAGTCTTAGATATATATGTATTTTGTCGCGATCGAAATTGTCGGTTGGATCTTGACTTTGTCGCGGGTTTTGTCTCAACATTCCTACCTGCGTGTGGGATTCTTTGTTCCTACGGGTAAGCCCAGTACCTAAAGGAGTGTCGGAATCAAAAGATCCTGTAGAACTTAAATTTAAAAGGAGTAACCAACCGATGAAAAATAAAGGTTTTTTTCCATTGTTTTATTCATATTCCCTTTTTGCTTTAACGACTCACCATTCGGTGACTACAAGCATACATAAGTATATTATCTTTTGATATATGATTAAACAGATCATTGATGTGTATATTGAAAAGCAGAGGACCTAGAATTGAACCTTGAGAAATACCTTTGTTCGGTTTAAAGAAACTAGAAATAGTTGCCCAATTTTCACGTAATAAGTACTGTTTGGCAAATATGACTTTAACCAACTTAGAGGAGTTCCTCTCAGACCAACAGTTTGCAATTTTTGTTTCAGAAGTTCCAGATTCAAGCTGTCAAATGCCCTTGAGAGGTCCACGAATACTGATATTACTATATTTGATTTGTCAAGTTGGGACGTTATTAATTGTTTTAAAGGCAACAGAGTGTCTACCGTCGAGAAACCTCATTTATAAGCATATTAATTACTGCGAATAATCTGAAATTTGTCTATAATGGTAGAAAATCTTTCGTAGAAAATCTCAAAAATTTTTGCCAAAACAGACACTATTATGATTGGACAGTAATTTTTTATTTCACTTTTTGATCCTTTATTCTTATATAATAGC